TTCCCCTCCTGGCTTCCTGTTGGGGCGTCTCCCCTTCTCCTTCAAGGAGAACACTGAGATGCCCTCACCCTCCCACGCCCACCCTGTCTGCTCACCTGTTTGCACCTGCATAAGCCTTGTCCTTCCACCTGCCCGCTTCTTTCTAAAATTTCTCTCTGGTCTATAAACAGGCTTAAGCCTAGGTTGAAACAAAACAACAGTGACACCCGTGTCACCTCCTCATGTCCCTGTCCTATCTCTTGGCTTCGCACAGTCTGCCTTCTCCACCCAACTCTCGCTCCCCACCCGACTGCGGCGTCAACCACCTGTCATTTCCCGAAACAACACTCATCATCAGCGGCCTATCTCGTCCCGAGCTCCAGACCCACACGGCCCCAAAGCAGTCCAGCTGCAGACTCGGGACGGGGGTCTATGGCCAGCCCGTCTGGGCTTGAGCCTGGCCCCACCAGCTGGCAGCTGTGTGGTCGCCTGCCTGTGCCTGAGTCTCCTCCTCTGTAGGATGTGGGTGGCCTAACACCTGCAACATGGGTGGTAGTGAGGCACGAATAAGACCTGTAAGATACTTAGCACAGTGCCTGGTATATAATAAATGCTCGGTAAATGTGACCTATTATTGTTTGTCCCTGCACATCCCAAAGGTACATGTGTTCCACATGCTATAACTAAACTCGCCTTTTGTCCTTGAGCTCCCTCTTCCTCCTGGTTCCCTGCTTGTAGATGAGATTTGCCTATAGCTGCGTAGGCTCAAGTAACTCAAACCCATGCACCAGTTCAGGTTCCCTCTGCCTCACCAGCCTCCTATTCGGTCTCCACGCCTTCACCCTTTGCTCACGAAGCCACTCCCCACGCCACAGGAACTCATCTTATCTTCATAAAAATTCTTCAGTGGCTCCCTATTGCCTACAAGAAGCCAGACTTCTAAGCCCGCCCTATAAGGCTCTCTGAGCTCCGGCCCCGCCCCTCTCTGCCAGGTGGTGCCCACCCTCCCCACCCATCCCAGCCCTGCTTCCTCCCTTAGGCTGTCCCCATGCCAACTGCCAGCAGTGCTCTGCAAAACCGTGCTGCTTCGGCCCTCCCAGGCTTCCGGTCCTTCTCCCACGACACTGACGGCGTGTAGCGCCTTGGGCCTCCAGACCGGCAGGCCCACGCAGCCGCCCGTCGCCCCCGCCCCGCTCTCCGCCGGCTCAGCACTGCGCACCGCCATCAGATACGGCTCCCTGCACAGCCTCTGTCACACTTCTGTGCTGTTGCCCAGGATGTTCCCTCCCTCTTTATCTGCCAAATACTCATCCTTCATGTTCTGAACGCAAGGTCACGGCCAGGGGAAGCAAGGCTGCGGCTGCGGCTGCGTCTGGGCCGGCCCTTCTCCCTCCGCTCCCGCGGTGCTCCCAGCAGCCTCTGGTCTGTCACAACAGGCCGGTATCCGATTGCGATTGTGAGGCTTTGTTTAAGTCACAGTCTCGCCCAGCAGCCCGAGCTGGTCGGGGAAGGAGAGGACACACCCCGCCCCCTCCCTGTCTGCTGTCCTGCTCTGTTTTCTCCGACACACTACGCGTGCTATCTGCTTGTCCATCTCTCCCCATTAGAATGTCAGCTCTATGCAGGCAGAAGCATGGTCTGCTTCGGCGGATCCCCAGAGCTTAGAACAGTGACTGGAATGTAGTGAGCGCTCAGTAAATATTTGTTGAATAAACCGTCGAATCACTGATCAACGTTACATTATCTAGCTTTGTATCCCTGGTAGTTAATACGTTGCCTGACTTGCAACAGATACGAAGTATATGTTTTTGAATAACCGAATGGATGGATGGGTACTTTATCATATTGCTAGCCTGTTTTAAAAACTTCAAAGCTAGTGTCAAATTCCAAGTTCTCCACTAAGCAGCCGCTCGATTTTGAATCCTCTGTCTCAGCACAAGCCTTTCTCGGGAGCCCAGCCGCGCAGCTCACCGCGCTAGTCTGTGTCTCAGACGCTGTCCTTCCTCCCCACACCCTGCCCATGCTCCACCCCGAGATACTCTTTACCCATTCAGCCAACTCATATTTATTAAGCACTTGAGATAAGCCAGCCACTGTTCTAACCACTCTCCTCGCTGACGCCTGTCCCACATCTTTTCTTCTTCAAGGTGAAAGAATGTTGACTCTGGCCCTCCGGGTCCTGGGGACTCTCTCCCCGGGCACTAATAACCTGTATTTTAATACGTCATCACTGGAATCATTAACTGAATCGAAGATATCCCACAGGTGTAGGTTTTACAGAAAATGACCCTTTAAAGAATCAGCACTTTTTAACATTTCGAATGAAAATGTTTCTAATATTTTTTTAACAACTTCCCTGTCTCTTGGAACAGAGTACTGTATACAGAATACCCACCTAACCTTTATCACTCGAGGTCGCTATGGACCCTGTCATCCTGTGATGCTCCAATGTGCCAAGAGGAGCCGCTGGTCCAAGGAAAGGATGTGAGTTTTGGAATGAAAAAATCTTCACAATGACCCCCTTTGCAGTGCCTGGGGTCTCTGAACTCTCTTCCGTTCTCTTTTAATGTGTTTCTAGTCTAGAGTGGGCTTAGGGACCAGACAATGAAGCTTTTAGAAATGTTTGTAAACTAAGTGTAAAGAGTGTCTAAGTGAGGTATGAGATACCCTTTTATTTATAAAGTCTATCTGTTATAAAGCATGGATTTTGTACAACCTATTTTGTTACCAGAGGCCTTTCTCACGTAACTCCCGTTTTCCTTGAGGCTGGAGAAGGGACTTTAAAAGTGTGCCTTTAGAGCACTCGTCATTTTACATACCCTCTTCTGTTAACTATTTTTACATGCATATGTCATGCCTTTTCAATTAGATCGTTCCTTGGACAGATTATTAACTTCCCCAGAGCAAGCGGTATTTTAGCCATTCATTCATTTGCTAACTACATTTTGAAGCAACTACGACATAGAAACAGTGCTGTGGGGGTGGGGGAGGCTGTTTTCTGGCTGGGAGGGCAGGAAGAGGTTTTGGGTGGGAGATGGTGCCTGAGGTGGATCTGGTCGAGAGGAGGAATTTTAGTGGGTAGCCTCCTGGGGTTTGGGGAAGCCGTGAGAACAGGCAGGAAGGGAGAAACATATGCACGAATTCGTGGAAAGTATAGTCATGCTGCAGCCTACAGAGCACCCGATGGGGGGTACCCCATCCTCCTAGTTGAGTTTGGAAAGAATGGATGCGAGATATATAAATATTATCTTTATTGCTGGTTAAGGTTACAAGCTGGAGAGCTTGACTTTGGGCAAGAGCTGAATGGGGCTGACCCACTTTGTGACATATGAGGGGGTCCGGGCAGGCCTCCAGGTGGTACAGACCACCATTCGGTGCCTGGGAAGTTTTCCAGCTCTTCCCTTTTCAACGTGAATACTTGAGATTGTCAGATAAAAACGAACAGTAGATGGCATTTAAAGGGGAATTTATATCTTAAAATTGAGTTTATTTTATACTACTCTTCTTTCCCACAAAAGCACCACATGGTAAGGCAGCTAGACTTACTACGGTGAATAAGAATCACTTTCCGTGAAAATTCAGCCAGGATCTGCAGATCATATGCGGGCTGTTCAGAAGCATCGTAACTAGAATTGGAAATCCCTGGCTTCCTGTAACTTTGAAGGGTCTACACTTAAAGATGAAAGAGACACATTTTTATAAAGCTCTGCAGTGAAGCCTGGTGGCTGGCTGGGGGTGGGAGGGGCCGGGCGGGGCGGGGCGGGGGGGAGTGGCCAGTGAAGACAGCACGTGGAACATAGGATGCCCTCTGAAGAACTGCATATACGGGGACCAGAGGGGGAGGGGAAGAGGCGGTGAGGGGAGAGTAAGGGCTTTGGGGGCTAAAGTGCCCTAACCAAGGCTAGTTCAGGGTGGGCGTGTTTGGCCCTCCTGACTGTCCAGTGTTCATCAGATGCTGCCTCCACGCAGAGCTGTGTCCTGTAAGCAGGTTCAGGTCCCAGCCAGATTCCAGGCTCTCCACATGGATCCCCACTCCTACCCACACAACACAACTGAGGAAGAAGAGTGCAAATATTCGTACAATAGTTGACAACTGCGCAGAGCCTAGGGGGCACCAGCCACTTTCCGTAATCCTAGTACTGTCGACCCGCAAGGCTGGCACCGGACCCTCTCGCCTTTCTCATAGGGAAGCAGAGGCTCGGAGCCAGAGGCAAACCTGGTTGAGTCAGGGTGGGAACCTGGATGCCAGCCTTCCGGGGGGGGGCTCTTCCAGCAGTTTCTAGGAGGCGGGCTGGGGGGGGGGGGGAACAGTGGCGGCTCTGTTCGGGCAGGAGGAGGGAGAGGTGGGCTGTGGGGGCGTAGGGGACCTGAGCTTGTGTGGTTATCTGTGAGGTGATTGCCTGGCTGTGAGTGAGTTTAAGTGTGAGCATACACCGGTGGGGGTGTGGATGTGGGTGCTGGTCAGTTCTTTGAATGTGTGTATGAGTATGTGGGGGAGGGGGGTGGTTAGCCCTTGGACTGTGTGAATATGTGTGTTCAGGATCCCATGAGGGCAAATTGGATTGCCCTTGGATTTTGTGCACAGGTGTAAATTTGTGCATGTGTGTGAACTTGAGAGTGCAAGTATGTTGGGGTGCTGGGTGGGGGTCAATCCCTGGCCACGTGTTTATGATGTGTGCGTGAATGTAGGGCGAGGGTCAGTCCCTGGGGTCCGTGTGCGTACGAGTGTGAGTGTGAGCGTGTGCGTGGGAGTGCGTCCCGAAGCGTGGAGCGACAGGAGAGGGGGGAGACGCCGCTGGGCCCCGCCCCCCGCGGCAGGTGGGCCGGGCCCGCGGCGGGGCCGGCCGCGCTCGCTGCTCTTGGCTAGCGGCCGCGCCGGGCTCTCAGGGCTGGGCTCGGGCTGCGGGGCGGCGCCGGGACAGGAAGCGGAAAGCGGCAGTGCAGCGGCGGCGGCGGCGGCGGGGCTCTGCCTCTACAGGAGCCCAGCGCAGGCCGCAGAGCCGGGCCGCTGCGAGCCGAGACCGCGGCCGCGGAGCCCGCACGGCCGGCGCCGAGGTGAGTCCGGCGAGAGGCCGGGCGCGGAGGCGGCGCGGGGCGCAGACCTCCGGCGGGGAGACGCCCCCAGCGCGGATCCCACACCCCCGCCGCAGGACTCAGACTCCGGTTCACCGCTCTCCTCCCGCCTCCCCTCCTGCGGACCGCACCCGGGGTGTGCCTCCCGGGATCCCACTCCCCTCCCACCCCCGCGAGGTGCGCCCCGCCTGCCCTGCCCTGCGCTCCGCGCTGCACCCCACTTCCTTGGATCCCGGGATTCCTTCCTCGCGCCTCGGACGCCCCTTTTCCCCTGGCTGCACTTTGGGGTGCGCCCTCGGGGTGCGCGTTCTGGCGGCCGGCAGGGAGTGGCCGAGCGTCCCTGGAGGCACCGGGCGGCTGCTTCGGCCGTGCGGGCCGGGGGCCGGGCGCGCACCCTCGTCCCCACCCCGCCGCGGGGCTCGACCCGGTAACCGCCAGCGGCTGGGGGCCGCCCGGCCCAGGGCCAGAAACCGGCACAGAGCTGGCCTGTGTTCACACCTCGCTTCCAAAATTGAGCCGGCCCCGGAGCCGGGGGGGCGAGTCCGGTGGCGCATCGCTGAGCGCAACAGGCAGGTAGGAGTTTACTTTCAAAAACGCCGGGGTGGAGCAGAAGGCGGCCGGCAAGTCTCTGCCCGAGGGGTCCCGGTTGGAGGAAATCTCCCTGCGCCCGGGCAGCTTCGCCAGGGGCAGGACCTCTTTTCTAACTGCAGTCTTTGAACTGCCCCGAGCAACGCGCCTAGAGGAGTGTGAAGCTTTATAAAAATTTAAACGCGTCGGTGGTGGAGGGAGGAGTGGGGCGGAGCCGCGGCCTGGCGGCCGGAGATGAGCTTGGAGTGAGACTTGGAGCCCAGAATTCTGTTGCTCGGTTTTCACATCTTCAAACCAGGTATCAAACCCGCGCCGCGAAGGTGTTATGAGCTCTTTTAGCTGCTTGTTAAGAGTTGCTGGAGCGCTTTATTATGGTGATTGTGTGGCTGGCACTTGCATTTTGTTAACCCCTCTTTTTTTCCGGGGCTGTGGTTGGAAATGAATGTATTTTTAGACACTTATTCCAAAAGCTAGCAGGCTGTAAAGAATCTGGCATTTTCAGTGATGTGTTTAGAAATCTTACAGCGTTGTTACAAATATTATAACTTGTGTCGCCTATCAACAGTGCTAATTAGCATTCTCCTTCCTGAGGGTGGGTTGTTTGATTACACAACTCCTGGCTCTTTAAGTGAGATGGCAGAAACTGTCTGCATCCAGGGAGATGTAATTAGTCATTTTATGTAACCACTAATTAGAGTTTTTAGAGTCGAATTAAATCAATGTGATATCGTTGGGGCTTTGATTTGTGGGAGGAATCTGTTTTATTTTATAGTTCAAAGAAGTAACACTTTTCACCTATCTGTGAGCATTTAGCATTTCTCCCAACGTTGGTTTCTAAGTGTAATTAGTAAAACACCTAGTGTGAAATTTTTACTGTTAGTGTTGGCTGTGTGACTTGGTTGCAGCTCAGTTTGTAAGTGAAATGTGACAAGAATTTTGAGAGTGGCCTGTTTGTAAGGACTGCCTGTTCGGCAAAATCTTTTTACTGTTCTGTATATGAGTGACCAGAGAAAGACGTGAAGGGGTTTCCGTCCCAAGCACCCATTCCATGTCACCCTGCTCTCTTTGAAGAATAAACAGGCACTGAGTGAGGAAGTTTTTACAATTGTTGCCCACCTTTCTTTGTGTAAGTAAATAGTCCTGCTAATTGCTGCAGTGCATTTTCTGTATCTCAGAGCACAGGTTCTAGATTTAAACTCTCAGGGTTCAAGCCCTAGCTCCAGCCCTTACCGGGTGTGTGACTTGGACTCCTTAACTGTAACATGACGTTAACATTTCACCTCCCTTACAAGGTTTGGTCTGATGATTGAGATGTTACATGCAAATGACTTACAACAATCCCTAACACATCCTCTACCTGTCAAGTGAACCAGCCGCGGCTGTGGGACTAGCTGGGTGTGGGCAAGTGATCTGGGCATGGTGCTGTGCCATGTTCCCGAAGGCGGGCCAGACTGGATTAGGTGGTCTTGGGCCCGGACCGTGTTCCTCCTCGGGGCTTTGGCCCGGCCTGAAGCGTGCTGAGGAGGTGCATGGGTGTTCTGCTGGCCTGTGTCCACTGTCCTTCTGCATGCCACTTCCTGGACAGCAGTCCCAGGACCCGGCACCGTGGGGTTTTCCGAGGACGTAATCCCCTTGCAGTCTGTTTTGCCGAAGCTTAACTGTCTAGCAGGGAACGAAGGGGTTACTTGAAAACAAATGCACAGCATAGGACCCCAGACATGGCAACTAATCACAGCCGCTTCGAAATATATACCGAGCTGCTGGGGTGTTTTAGCTGTAATTAATGACTCAAGTCAAGAGCAGTTATTCAGGGAAGGTGAGCTGAAATCATTGGCAAGACAGGTAAAATGAGGGTGGTGTTTTCTTCCCTTGTTAATAGTCACCCAGAATCATTCATTTGTAGGAGCTCTGTTGGAATGAAAGAATTGTGGGATTTGTCATAAATGCCACAGGCCCGCTGACCCCACATCAGTGACCTGGATGATGGTTTATGGTTTATAGACCACAAGTTCAGCAAAATGTTTGGCCCACGTAGCCATCGCTCTGCACACCCCTCTGCAGTCCCGAGGTCTCCCCACAAACCCAGTAAAATGCGCGTAGTCTCCTCCGACCCCTGTGAGATGCTCTTCCACCCTGGGAACAGTGAAAGGAGGCCTGCCAGGAACAGGATGGAAGTCATTAAATTACTTAGCGACTGTTAATGGCATTCGTTAAAGATAGACTATGATAGACCACCCCACCCCCGAAAGTACATAAAGTCAATGAAAATGATACGCAAGTCACATGCCCTACAAAGGTATTCTGAGAGAATTTCACCTTACTGAATAATATAATACCTAATGGCTGTGAGTGCTTACCATATACGAGGAACTGTTCTAAGCGATTATGAATTATCTCACTTAATAGCCACCGCGAGTCCATAAGGTAAATTCTATATATAATTCTGTTGTTATAGTTAGGGAAACAGGCACAGAAAGGTTGAGTAACTTGATCTGAGTCCACACAGCTGGTAAGTACTGGAGCCAGGATTTGAACAGGGACAGTCTAACCCCATTGCTTCTCTTCTGTAGAAGTAAAGTTGACTCTAAACAAAATTATTTAAACCCTCATGTTCCCCTTAAGTGCCACATAATTAAACACAGGTATCTTGAGAAAAATGTTATCAAAACATAGTAAAAATAATAATGGATGGTGCCAGCCTTTCGAATTTTATGTACAGTATGATAAAGATTAAATCTTCGAAGTAACGTACCCAGAATGCATGAGCAGAGATGCTCCAGAACCTCTGTCCCTTCGACGCACGTGCCCCGCGGAGGGTGGCGAACAGGGCAGTGGTTCTGCCAGTCCGTGTGCGCCTGCGCGCCCCTCGCGGGGGCGCCTTCTGCCCTCCCAACCGGAGTTACCTTAATGACTTAACGCGCTCCAGGCAGAGCTGTGGATGTTTCTATAATTTCCTTTTCACAAAGGTTAGCTTCTGTTTACCGCTGTCATTACCATAACATGCTATTTCCCTCACACGGTTTTCTGAACACCGTGTCCTCCCTTTACGTACTAGGTATACTTCCTGTGCGTGAACTTGACTTTGGGGGAAGAGTCTCTTCCAGGCCACCAATCTTCGCTTTGCTTTGAGTAAAGGGAGGTGAAGGCGGGTCTTCCTGCCGTTTTTGCCGGCGAATTCCAGAATTTAGGATACTGCCACTCAGACGTGTCCTGTGTACTGTCTCAGCGCTGCGGTCCTCCTGGCCTGGGAGGGGACGAGCCCCAGCCGGGTCCTGGCGGCTGCCTCCTGCAGTGCCTGCTGCTCCTGAGGGAGAATGTCACACAGCCGGGGAGGCAGCTGGTCAGGGCGTGTCTGAAGTCGAAATTGTGCCTCTGAGTGAGACCAGAGTGAGCGGCAGGGCAGTGCTGCTCCCAGCCGTTGGGTCTTTGCTGCTGAATCTAACGCCTGCACCTTTTCCTCTTCTGGGAGCCGGGGATTTACCCTGGACGGTCTCTGAGGCGTCTCCCACAGGAGATGTGTGGCTTCCATTCAGCACACACCGAGCGCCTGATAAAGATTAAATCTTCGAAGTAATGTACCCAGAATGCATGAGCAGAGATGCTCCAGAACCTCTGTCCCTTCGACGCACGTCCCCCGCGGAGGGCGGAGAACAGGGCAGTGGTTCTGCCAGTCCGTGTGCCCCGGAGCTGGAGAGGCAGTGGTTGCTGCCCTTGTGGCGCTTACTGTCTGCTCAGGAGCCAGACATCAGCTAATCACTCAAATGGGGAATCGGACGTTGTGATAGAAAGCAAAAGTCCAGGCTGCTGGAACGGGGTGTGAGCAGGGAAGTAACATCACGCTGTGATTTGAAAGATCATGTTGGCGGAAGCCCCGCGTGGGGGCCAGGTCGGGGCTCAGTCCTAGGAGGAGGGTTCCAGATTCCAGGATCCTTAGTGACACCTTTATCTGACCCCATCCCATTCAGGCCAGTCAGACAGCCTCTCAGTTAGTTTATCACCCTGGGAATCTGGTTCCTTTTGGAAACTTTATTATCTTCCTGATAAGGCGACCCTCTGACCCTGTCTGAGTTCCGCTAACTTCTTGTGCATACAAGGAAACTATCTTGTAAATATATCATTGCAGTGATAAGCTTCAGGATGTGCTTTTCCCTTCTTGCCCAGGGGTCCACTTCCGTGGTTTCAGTTACCTGTGGTCACCCACTCTCCAAAAATGCTAAATGGAAAATTCCAGAAATAAGCCATTGCTAGGTTTTAAATTGCACCCCATTCTGCATGATGTGATGAGATCTCCCTCCATCCCGCCTGAGAGGTGAATTATCCTATTGTCTAGTGTATCCACGTTGTAGATGCTACCTGCTCCTTAGTCACCTAGTAGCCATGCTGGTTATAAGATCGCCTGGAGGTACCGCAGTGCCTGGGTCCCAGGGCCTGTTGTTTTACTTCATGGCATCTTAGGCAGCTCCTTTCCTCTCATCACATGGGCCTGTGTCATCTCACAGCATCGCAAGAAGGGTGAGTACAGTACAATGAGATATTTTGAGAGAGACCACGTTCACATTTTTATTACAGTATGTTGTTATAATTGTTCTATTTAATTGTTATTGTTGTCAGCCTATTACTATGCCTAGTTTATAAGTTAAACTTTCTCATAAGTATGTACATATAGCCCAAAACATAGTATATATAGGGTTTGTTATTATCCGCGGTTTCAAGCATCCACTGGGAATCTTGGACCGTGTCCCCCGTGGATAAATGAGGGGCTTCTGTATATTGAACTACTGAATATTGAAGTTCTTACATAGGCTTTTAAAATGAGTTCTCTCTGAATTTTTGTCATTTGGTTGCCTGTTGCTGCTGCTTAAGCCGCACTCAGATCTTGGACAGGAGATCATAGTAGATGTAGAAGGAGGGGCCTGGGCTCTGTATAGGCTGGATTGGCTGAGGGAACCTGTGGGCTTTGTAATGGGTTAGCTCTGCAGGAAGTGGGCAGCTGAGAGCTGGGGGAGTGGGGGCGGGGGAGGAACCTCGAGGACAGAGGGCACTTGGTGACCACAGGCTGCGTGGGAGGAAGGGGAGAGGGGATTGAAATGGCACAGGGCAGGAGCCATGGGAACTGCAGGAGGAGCGCATCGCCTGGCAGAGGAGATTGGAAAGAAGAGGCCAGGACAGTGGAGAGCAGGTGTGAGGTGGCTGACGATGAGCCGGGTGGGGCGGAAGTGTCTGAGTGCGACCTGTGCCTCGGGGACCCAGCCTTTCGGTTCTTGTCGGGTGCCTGTATGTTCAGAGTATCCTGGGCATAAACAGTAGCTCTCGTCTCTGGGTCTTATATTAGAGTAAACCATGGATGGAGAATAATGGGCGCATTGGAGTCTTTAGGGACAATTGGATGGGGAGACGGGAGGGTGTGCTGGACGAGTAGCATCAGTGCCCTGCAGTGGACGGACGGTGTAACATGTGCGTTGTCATTGCTGTGTCCCCAACCTTGCCAGCAGGGCCTTGCAGTGGATGCTCACTACATGTAGCAGTGGCTGGGTGAATAGATGGGATAAGGTGTAGGGGATGGAGAATTAGGAGGCAACCTTTGGTTTAGGCTCAGAGCAGTCGCTGGCCACCCAAGAGGGTTTCGGTGGAAGGGATGGAGGCCTGGGGTGACGGTCGAGAGCAGGGGTGGCGGCACACACAGACCCCGCTTTTGATAAGCACAGGCAGGAACTGTGGGAGAGAAACCGGACCAGGGCAGCTGGTAGGGTTCAGTAGAGCCTTTCCCCAAAGGAGCCCATGATTTCCTTTGAGGGACATGCCTGGAGTTGCCTTAATGGACGGCCAGAATTTTTAATGAGGATGGAGAATTACGTCTGCTGGCAGAGGAGAAGCAGGGATGACACTTGGGTTGCCAGGTGCCAGAGGCTTGGCGTGGGGAGCCTCGATGCACGCTCACAACCAGCCCAGGAAGTGATCTTGTGAAACGGCCTCATGTTTGGGGAGTGGGGGTTGGAATCAGAAGCGCTGGGAGGCGGGCATCGGCCCCACGGTGGCAGGGCCTGGAGGCTGGAACAGGATCAGCCAGGTCCGCGGGACCGGGGCCACCCGCCTCTGAGACCGCCCCCGGCAACAGTCAGCCAGAGTCAGCAAGAAGTTGAGCTGGAAAGGGCAATCAGGAGGCGGGTTGGGAGGCAGAGAAAGCGCAGGAGCTGTGGGTGGTGAATTCCGAATGTGGAAGAGGGTCGGGGTTCTGGGCGGAGCAGCCTGTGTGAGAACCTGCAGGTCAGCAGAGAGCAGGGTGAAAGGCCTTCAGGGAAAGAGTCTGGTTCAGGGTCCGCGGAGCCTGGCTCACCTCCCGACGGTGGCTCTCTGGTAAGCGGCTGCAAAGCCCCGAGCAGAAAGGAAGTGAGACTCTAAGGTGCTGAAAGCTCATTGAAGTTGCTCGTGAAAAGGGGGGTGGGGGCAGAGGAGGGAGAAAACAAGACGAGTGGGCTTGGAAAGTCTTCTAGGAAAAGTAGGGGTAGGTCTAAGAGCAAAACTCAATGCCTGTGTTTCACATTCATGGTTGCCCCAGAAATAGGCTGCCGTATTTCTCTTTAAGGGATGAGACCTGAGGCTTAGTGAGCAGTGGGCTGAGATGCTAGCCCAGTGCCATGTGACTACAGGCGAACCGCAGGTGAGCCGCAGGTGGGGAGGCAGCCTGGGCACCGCTCTGCCCTGCTCCTTCCCAAGAGAGATAAGGAGGACGTCGGGCTTCGGAACCGGACTGGTGCACTGACAACCATGACTTTCATTTATCTAGTACATACTTGGAGCCACTGCTGGGAGTGGTTGCGCTTGCAGCTTCTTTCTTTCTCCCAGCAGCCCTGTTAGATACATTTTACGGATGCAGGTTCAGAGAGGTGGAGTATTACGACTGAGGTTACACAGCTAATAAGCCAATAATACCTGGTTTGGGAACCCAGCTCTGGATCCTCTATCTGCTTACGCCTGCAGATCAACCCCGTGAAGACGATGGCTCCTTGGTTCGCCCAGTCTGACACATGAGGAAACTGATGCTTAAGGCCAGTGGCAAAGCCCAGGCGGTACAGACAGGGAAGACTCTGGCTAGAACCCGTCTCCCTCTGTTCACCTGGGGCTCTTGACAGCAGAGGAGGAAAGCAAGGATGAGTCACGAGGTCCAGGACCCAGGACTGGCATCCAGGACCGAGGAGGCGAGCCCTGGGTCACTGAGCCCCCAGGGGAAGGCGCCCTCTGAGGGTGGGGGCTGTGCTGGTTCTCAGGGGACTCCCTCCAGACTTGCAGGTGGTTGCTGGGGTCTGGGGACTGTGGCCTCCCCCAGCAGGGACAGGGGCGTGGTGTTTGCAGGCCCTTTGTTGTTTCTTTGCACTTCTCCCGCTGGCTCTGTGCTCTGTTTGCCGTTTGCGCTTCCAGGGGCCCAGAGAGGAGGAGCGCTGCTGGGCGGGACCGGCTCTGGGGCGATGGGTGCAAGGGAGGGGCGCCACTTGCAGATCCACGTTTTGCAGGAGCTGGTGTGTCGGGTCCAGGAATTCACCTGGAAATGTTTCTGCTTTATTTTTATTGCCCGGCAATAGCCAATGGAAATGTGGGAAAAGACCTAGGAGCCTGCAACTCTTAAATCACCTGCTCTGTGTTTCTGATGTCCCTCTTCATCCTTATCTTGACACAAGCGATTGTGTGGGGTTGTAACTGCAGGGTAGGACCGTGGGACTCCTGGGCCTGTGGCCTGCTCTTTCAACTTGCCTACCATCATAAACAGCTCCAGGCGTCGCGGTTATCCTTTTAAACGGCTCTGTGATATTTCTTTGGGTGGATAAACCTATTCCCCTGTTTTGGGGGCATTTAGATGGTTTCTAGCTTTTTACTGTTACAGACAAGGCAGTAACAATAGTTTCTCTTTAAAAAAGAAATTAGTTCCCTAACATAAATTCTCAGGAATTTGGGTTCCTGGATGGAAGAGACTTGAGAGCTTTTTTTTCTTTTCCTTTTCAGTTGGCCTTCGGAAACTATGAGCACATTCCTTAAAAGTGACTTCCCTGTGTATCGTTTTTTGTAACCAGCGAGCTGGCGGTGGGGGCTGGGCATGGTGTCTGGGGCTGTGGGAAGCCGCCTCCCCCAGCCTGAACCTCTGGGGGCCAGGTTGTGTCTAGGGACATGGCTGAGGGCCAGGTGTCACCTCCGGTTTTCCTGCTGCTGTGGTTGGGGGCTTGGCTTGCCAGTCACCTGCCTGTCTCCCAGACCCTTGGGGAACTTGTCGCTGCATGAGTGGAGCACTTGGTGCCCAGAAGCTTCACTGTCACTCTCTTGTTCGATAACAGAGACCCCATGGGAGGCAGCCGCTGTCATTTAGCCTCCAGCCCCTTTAGGCTGGCTTTGAAGGTTGATACCTGTTTTTCTCCCCTTTCCCCAGAACTTGTTCCTGTTGAAGAGTGGCTCCTTGATTCCCAGACACTTTGAGGTTTTAGAAATCCAGTCGGTGAAATTCTCTACCTCGACGGAGAACCAGTACCTGCTCCTTCATCAGACGCAAGCTGTCCATTGCTATGGATACCGAATCCACGTATTCTGGATATTCTTACTATTCAAGTCATTCGAAAAAATCTCACAGACAAGGGTATGTAAGCCGTGGATGGTTCCACTTTTCCTTGTTGGGAACACTCGCAGGTCACTGGGGCATTTAGATTCACTTTTCAAAGCCACGCGAGCTGCAGGCCTGTGGTGGCTGGGCGTTTAGTCCATGTGCGTGAGAAGCGGAGCTTGAAGAGCATTTAACATGCGTTGGGAGTAACCACACCACCGAGTTGCACATTATTGCTTCCATTACAGTCGATGACCTTAATTTCTCACAATCGACTTTAAATTAAAGTTTCTCTCTGCAGTGGAAATGTTTCTTCATTTCCAAGTACTTCTCATAGATGGCAGTTCTCCCAAAGCTTTACAAAGAATGTAAATGAAAATTTTTTAAAAACCATGTTAATTCGTTGCTTTTCAGCCAAAGCTGCCGACTCGGGACATTTTGCATTTGCCACGAGGCTTCCGCACTGAAGCGGGATTGGCCTGGCGCCTATTTCTCTCTGACTGGTCTTCCCATTGAACAAACCCTGGTCTTGAAAACACTGTCCTGGGTCCTGGGGGCTCACCCTTCCGCTGAGCGAAGTGCACGGGGGTGCACCGAGGTTCCCAGAGCCCACCATACTGCAGACCTACAGGGTGTTTGGCGAGTAGCAAATGAACAGAGACATGGCACTGCACCGCTTCGGACTGCGGTTGGTAAAATTACAGTGCCGCCACTTCTTTAGACTCATCTGTGAAATGAGCACAGCAGCACCCTCCTTACAGGGTTGGTGAGAAGTTATTCAATGATGCATGTAAAGCATTTCACACCGCGCACAGTAGGAGGTTGCTAACCAGCAGCTGCATTAATGCTATGAATGGCTTAGCACTTCAGCCCCAGAGTCAAAGGCCTCAACTGGCCACTGGCCAGAGCCCCACCTGTGGCCCAGCCCTGCGTGGCCTGGGAAGGGTGACTGCGTGGCATGTCCCTGACTGAGCAGGTCCTCACACAGGGGGCTGAGTGCAGATACACGCACAAAAAGAGGCCTGGCAGGGGCTCTCCTGCCGCCAGGAGGGGTCGCCCCCCGGGAAGGGGCTGGGCACAGACGGTGGCTGACGGCAACGCTCCTTTCTTTGGTGTCCTTCTGTACTCATTCAGTCTTTTACAGGTGTGTATCTTGCAATTAAAAATATGATTGGAATAAGAAAGAGTACAAGAAAGGTTTTCAAAGACTTTAATGACATGTAAATGTGTTCATGTGGCCATGTTACAAAAAACAAGGTTCACATCTTCATCTCTCTAACAGCTCTATATTCTTAGAAGATGGATTGTAACATATTGACCACGTTTGTCTCTGAGTTATTAGGGATCTGAATCTGTCTCTGGGGTTCTTAGGGTTATGGGTGTTTTTTAATGTTCTTTAAACTTCCACGATTTTCTGGGTTTTCATGCACTGCTGTTATAGTCACAGAAATTTGGGGAAAGGATGTGTGTGAGCTAGGGTGGGCGCCCAGGTGCGCCTGCAGCGGTGATGTCATCGCGAATTTCCGCCAGTGGGGAGACATGCCAAATTTGTATAAAACCAGAAATAGCTCTTTCAAAATATCAGATCTTTGGGCCTATCTGGAAAACGCAGCTCCCGGTCAATGTGCCCGGCTTCCCTTTTCCACACCACAGTGACGGAAGTTGGGATTTGGGGCTCTCTTGGTGATCGGCGATGAATAAGGAGGACCCCTTGCCTTATTCTGAGTGAGGACCATCCCTTGTGTCCTTTACCTACACGCGTGTCCCAACCATCATGCTTCAGGGCCCCTGCTGTGCTTGGCTGTTTCCTTAGGCCTCTTGAGACTCCCAGAGATTGATACAGGGCCGCAATGCCCTTGTGGAAACTTTAAGAGACTATAATTTTCGATTGTAACAGCTCACAAAACTCTTAGTGCTTTCTGCGACCCATGTGGAAAGTACTTAGCAAATGATAATCCAAGCTGAGACTTTTCATAAATTAATCAAGGGACGTTACTGAAGGCTGACGCGGGAGAGCTGTGGGTGAAGGGCTGGCCATTAAAGATTCATGGGTGCGCTCCGTGGTTCTTTAGAAACGAGCAGCGCCCACACAGGGTGAGCGCTCTGCTGGAGGGCGGGCCGTGTGGGACGTTGTCACTGTGGGTCAGAGGCTGTCATTCTTTGTCAGGACAGAAAGAGCACAAAGCAGTGACAGTCCCCTGACACCGGCCCGAGCAGGCCCTCGGTCCCGCCAAGAGCCTCATGTCCCCCGGAGTGTCCCTGGGAAGGCGCTCTGCTCAGGGCCTCATTGGGAATTTGAATAGAAGTGTAGGAAAGGGGAGGGACCTGGCTTTTGGGGGTAATTTTAGCAGAACTGTGACTCAGAGAGGACTAGTGAAGTGCACCAAACTTGCTATGCCTGATGACACCTTGATCGACTTTGGAGGAGGGGTTGGTTCCAGCAGATGACAGGTGACTCTTTTCTAGCAAAGAGGTTAGTGCTCTAGTTTTTGACGCCTGTCATCTCCAGAGGGCGTCCGGGTAACTTGCCGGGGAATCGGTGCAGGCTTGGGCTGGCCTCGCCTCGCCTCCGGGTTTGGAGCGCCAGTTCCCTGAGTTAAATACAGCAGCGACCAGCCATGTTCAGGGCCCGCTGGGGCCCTCAGGCCAGTCCTGCCTCCTTGCAGCCGTCCTGGAATGGGGGCCGGGGGTACCCCTGTTGATCAGGTGGTGAGAGGGAGGCCCAGAGGCACCATGATTTGCTCGAGGTTCCAAGGCTAATAGGTACCTGCGGCAGGTTTCAGGCCCACTTGTTGGTTGTTTGGCAGCCTGTGCGTTTCCCCGGGACTGTGCAGGAGAAAGTGGCAGGAAAAAGAAAACAAAAAAATAAGTAAAGGAAATGAAGAGTAACTCATGTGACTAACACGCTAAAATGCATTGTCCGAAATAGAGCTGCCTGAGTGGCGGGGATTGGGGCCTTTGTTCCCAGGCTTCCCAGACAGACTGCGAGAGGAAGCAGCCAGCCAGGCCGGGCAGTCAGCAGAGAGAAAGGGCAGGCAGTGGGTGGCGGTGAGAAGGAAAGGGAGGGGTGCCCGGTGGGGCCAGCTTTCCCCAAATAGAAAGAGCAAACAACAGCCACCGAGCCAATTCCGCTTCCCAGGAAATGCCGGCTGCGAGTGGGACCCGACAGGGAAGCTGGCTGGGGCGTGGGGCAGGGGGCGGGTTGCAGCAGCTGCCAAGGGCCCAGCTCTAGAACCGCCGCAATGGGTGCGTCCGTGCCACGCAGGTGCAGACACGCGCCGTGCCCTTGCCTGCTCCGCCTGCCCTCTCGCGCACATGTGCACAGATACACTCATCTTTACTTGTACAGGCCGATGTTGCGTGGACACAGACTGAGAGATAAAGACACCAAGGTTCCTGTGGCTGACACACCTGCCCAGCAGAGGCCCACAGGCGATACGGACCGCCTAGAGCCGGGAAGCACCCAAGCGTGCCCACGTTTCTCTCGCTCATTTAGTCACCTCACTCCCTGGTCTCCTGCCTGTGTCCTCTGATGGTCTTCACCATGGGGGAGCCGTCTCCCACAGGACACTCGGCCCTCCCCTGGAGTCCCGGCACTGGGAGCTATTGGGTGGACGTTGGGGACCTGTTGCATTGAGGCAGCCACACTGTGGCTTGTAGCTCTGGGAACCAGAAAGCGCCGACCGACGGTGTTTTTGTTGGACTGGCCTATTTAGCGTTGGCTCAGAGACCTTCCCGGAGCGGTCATTCAGGACCGGTGCTTTTCGTAAAAGTCCCAGGACAGTTCTTGCTCTCTTAATAGTAAGGACCAGCCCCGCACAGCCCCCATTGAGTTGATCGGACCGTCACGTTCGCCCCTCACTTGACTGTGCAGGGGAAGCTCTCACCTGCGGGTGTCCCTGTGTCCTGATGCACGCTGTCCCCAGCCTTTCCCCAGCCTCATCCACCCAAGGCTGGTTTAATGAAGAAGCCACTGGACATGGTGGCATTGTACAGCTGAGTGTTACACCCATGGCTTTCCTGATTGAGCCCCTGCTGTATACAGGGCATTTCACATACAGGCTGACTTCCAAGCAGTTAGTCCAACAGCCCCCTCGGCCAGGAGCTTTTGGGTGGGGAACGCTGGCTGGATTGCACGGGGTGCCGGTGGAAAATGCAGATTCCTGCTGCCTCCCCCGCAGACGGACTCTCAGAGGGTGGCGCCAGCAGGTCTGCACCCCGATCCATACCCAGGGGCTTTCTCCGCACGCTCCGGTTTGAGAGGCACTGGTTTAGGGTTTCTGGCGCTGGGGATGAGAAGCCTCCCTGGGTTATCAGATAATGTCACCAGCGGAGTTGATAGACTGTCCCTCTCTTTCGGGTGCTGCCGGCCCCTTCACAAGCCAGGCTGGGCGCGTGGGCGGTTGGAGCAATGGCAGGGCCCGGAGCGGCTGTTTCCAGCCCCGGGTGGGTCCCCCCCTGCCTCCTGCCTGGGAGGGTTCAGGCTCCAGGAATTGGCTCCCTGTGAAAGAATTTTCATTTCCAGTGGAATTTGTGCCATCACAGGATTTGACTCCTGGAGCCAGCGTATTGATAGGTGGGTCAGGGGAGCATGTGACTTGGCTGATGGCAGGGAGAATGACAGAGGTGAGAGCAGGTGGGGAAAGGGGAAATAGAGTAAAACGGAAAGGAGGCTCCTGGGTCTCCCTGGAGGGGGCGGGAACCCTGGGGAGCAGCAGTTCCAGCCCAACGGGAGTCTCGCCCTCGTCATGCATTGTTTCTCACCGCGAGTCCTTCGGAAGTGATTGCTTTTGGCAGCCAGGGTGTGGGGTGCGGGGCTCTGTGCTCTCCAAGGTCACAGCCCAGTCGCGACCCCTGGCAGCAGCCTTGGAGGCACGTTTCATGGCTGTAGTGATCACTCAGGTACAGGGGGTGGGGATGTGCACTGGGAAAGTGGGTGCTGCAGAGTCTTCCGGTGGCTCCTCAGGTTGGTGCGGCGTAGCTCGCGGACCAGGCGAGGCGGTGGGGGCAGACCTGGGTTCAGATCCTGCCCTGATACTCACTGTGACTTTGGGAAGTCGCTGAACCTCTCTGAGCCCTGGTTTCCTTGTCTGTAAAATGGGGACAGTTACACTGGCCTCATAAATTTGTTGTTGGGTTGGATTGAAATTAATGCAATAAAGCACTTAGTAGAGTGCTCTAAGAATTGGGCTGGGGCGTGGAGTGGAGGGATTGGCCTTCACCTCTCAGACCTCCTGGCTGTTTCCCTAGTTGCCTGGTGAAACTTAAACACCTGAGTTGATCAGAATTCATCTATTTCTAGACTCTGCTTTACAATAGATTGTAATAGCAAGTCATTTAGAGATTAGAGATGCTGTCCCTGAAAGAGTCAGAAGCCTCCCGGCTCTTTGAAGGGCTTAACCAATGCTTATCCTAGGGAGGTAGGGATAAGGCAGCAGTTGGAGCACAGGAAGTCTGCATGCGGCTTTGTTGGCTAAGTAGTAGGTTAACAGGAGATATGCTGTGGAGGGAGGGAAGGCTTCACGAAGTCAAGTCACCATTCCTCGCCTTGGCTAAGAAGAATAGCTATCATTAAAGCTACTGCTTATTGAGCCCTTTTTCTACACTCCTGTACTGGCTTTCTGTGCACTATCTGTGTGGTGTTATCATTATCCCCATTTCACACATGAGGAAACTGAGGTTTCCGGAGGCTGAATAACTTGTGCAAGACCACATGACTAGTCGGGGCAGAATGGAGACCTGACTGTCCCTCCCACAGCCAGCGTGTGCAGTGCTTGCGTCCTGCCCGGGACACACAGCAATGAGGACAGTGGACGAAGGGAGGTGGGCCGAGGTCAAAGCCGCCGACGGGACAGGAGAAGCTCGCTCTTGGCCACTGAGGGGCTCCTTTGGTTGTGCTCACTGTTCGCAGTTGGGGGCAGAGGTGCCACTTCCGGTGGGTTCCCGTGGGTGGTTGATGCTCAAGCTGTGACCTCTTTGCAAAGGAATGGATTCCTTTTGCAATTTCAGGAAGGACCCACGGCAGGGAGCTCTTACAGTTGCCCCCCCCCACCCCGCCCCTCGGGGGGACCACCCAGGATTAATGTTATGCAGCCGCCTGCTTTCCTGGGAAGCCTGAAAACACACGCACACATGTGCACACACACCCCTTGGTGCCATTGGCCCTAGCTTTTGTCTCTTTCTAGGGGTGTCTTTGAGTTCAGCTAGAACCTGTGGGAATGACTTTTAGGTTGAATTTGTAGGAATGAAAAGTAAATGATTCTCTGTGCTGGTTTAGAATTTCCTTTTTTCTTGCCCAAAGGTGTAGGGTGACAGTGTGTCCCAGATTTTTTGGACCAACCAAAGCGTGAATATTTTGCAGGGTTGTCCTACCAAGAAGGTCCTAGAAAATAAGTTTAGTCACATCAAAAGCAAATCAGGGCAATCATTTTACAATACCAGTGTGCCTTAGCTACACAAATTCTAAAATTCGCCATTTCAGGCTTTGAAAAAATAACAGTCACCGAAAGGAAATGCTAAGTAGGGAGAAAAGATCAACTTACTCTTTGTGGGGGGCAACTGTGTGTGTGTGTGTGTGATTTTCCTAAATTCAAAATGAAATGTACAGTGTATTTTGATGGGAGCTAATTACTTTGGGACAAATGTGCTAGTTGATTATCCTTTTTTTTTTTTTTTTTTTTTTTTTCAGGGAAAGAAATAGAGAGAGACACAAATCACCCCGGAATAAAGATGGCAGAGGGTCAGAAAAATCTGTCACTATTCAAGCTCCCACCGGAGAGCCGCTGTTGGCAAATGATTCTACTCGGACGGAGGAAGTTCAGGTAAGGATCAAAGGCAGCCTGTAAGCACGCTGCCCCGTGACTGAGACTCCTTTCGGTAAATGTTTTTCTAAGTCTTGTTGCAATAGGTTCTCTTGGGTTTTTATCTTTATTTTTCTAGCATGTTGATTAGTTTATCTATGTCCCGTGGTTTCTTGTTGGTCTAAGGACAGCCTGTCCTGCCATTGGCTAGCTTGGAGATTCTTCCCAAGTGTGATGGGTAGGCTTGCTTTGAATGGCGTTGGAAAGAAGCCAGCAAGGCTGACCTCAGGGCCGAGGAGGGAAAAGTTACGGGCTGCAGCCTCCAGAGACTCCCTGCAACGGAACAAGATAAAAGAGGGAAGGACACGCCTTCCAGAAGCGCTAAGTCGTGTGGGGAAGGAGGGCAGGGCGGCTGGGGTAGCCCAGAGTGAGTGCCATGGCCGGCCGTGGACTGCGTCAGGGGCCGCGCGCTTAGCTGCCTGGCAGGAAGACATGGATGCATGAAGTAGGCCCCGGGACACACAAAAAGGCAAAAACATATCAGGCAAGCCTGGGAGTGAACAGCCATCTGCCATCTGTGGCGCCCAGCACAGTGTCGGGCCAGGATGGGGGCGGGGGCGGGGGGGTGCGGGTTCTGTGCGGCTCTGGAGGCTGTACTTCCTCCTTTCGGGGACAGCGGCCCCTCAGCTCCAGACACGTCTTACTGCTCAGTGATGTGGGGATTCTGTTTGTGTTCCCTGCCATATTTAAGAAAAGCTGGAAATTAGGATTTTATGGGAAATCACCCAGTTTTTTAAGTACAGTTGACCAGTGAACAACATGGGCTTGAACTGTTATGGATTTTTGTCATTAAGTAAGTATAGTCCTGTAAATGCATTTTTTCTTCCTTATGATTTTCTTTAATAGTGTTTTCTCTAGCCTTATTATAAGAAGACAGTATTTGATACATGTACAGAATGTGTGTTAATCAACTGTTTATGTTATTTGTAAGGCTTCCAGTCAATAGTAGGCTGTTAGTGAAGTTTTGGGGCAGTCGAAGTTGTACACTGGTTTTCGACTGTGTGGGGTCGGGGGTGGGGCGTCAGTGCCTCTAACCTCCACCTTGTCCAAGGGTCGACTGTGTGGGTAATGTATGAATTTTTTTTGAAGATTTTATTTATTTACTTTTAGAGAGGGGGAAGGGAGGAAGAAAGAGAGGGAGAGAAGAGAAACGTCAATGTGTGGTTGCCTCTCACACACTGCCTATGGGGACCTGGCCCACAACCCAGGCACGTGCCCTGACTAGGAATCAAACTGGCGACCCTTTGGGTTGCAGGCTGGCGCTCAGTCCACGGAGCCACACAGCCAGGGCCTGCATTATTTTTATTTGTGTGGGTTCTTCTCTGTGGGTCCCTACTGTCTGGCAGCTCACCTGATTTAAATAAACATTTGAGCAACCCTCAAAAACATGTTTACGTATCCTCCACAGCTCTTGAAATACATGCATGCCTCCTGTTGGCCCCAAATGAATTGATGTATCCACATATAGCTATGAAGATACAGGACTGTGGACAAATCTCTGTGGACCTGTAGGTACACACAGATGTGCACTTCTAAGCGGATAGGTGGACTGAACTTAGAATTCCTCAGAGCATACAAGGTGCTCTGGGAACCCAGCGTGGCAGCTGTGGGATCAGTGTGGGATCAGGGGTTTGTCCAGCGATGAGTAAAGGTCTTTAGTTCAGCGTCGTAGGGATGGTGAGGTGCTTGGATGGATGGGGCCAGTCCTGAGAGTGGACCTCCCTGAAGTGCTGCAGGGGGTCAGTTGCCTTCCAGCTGTGGATCCAGAGGTGCTGGTGGCCCCTATGAAGGCGTTTCTTCTTTGCAGCTTCTCTGCATCTTGTAGCTATGTCGGGAAGTTCTTGGTGTTGACACCAGGGTGATGTGAGGGGAAAAACACTGAAACGGGCTTTTGGAGGCTGTCCTTCTCAGCGTTGTGACCTTGGACAGTGACCACCTTGGTGGGCCTCAGGGTCTTCACTGAAAATTGAGGGACTTGGATTAGAGGATCTTAGATCCTTTTTCTGTTCTGAGAATCTCAAGCTCGAGAGGGCCCCTTGGACACGGCCATTTTTTCGGCACAGATGTGCACACATTCTGAAAATGCGCAGACGATTTAGGTAGTGTCCTTCGGCAGGAAAAAAGGCAAGGGGCTACATCAGAGCAGTGGGGTGGTCAGCGAAGTAGTAGCAAGATACTACAAAGGATTTCAGTATCTCAACTGAATATTAGGCCCAATACAAAACATGGAATCCAGGCCTTCCCTCACTAAGAGTGTTACAAGGGAAATGATTTCAGGTGGCCTGTGAACTCTCCTTATAGTAAAGCAAGCTGTCCATCTTTGACTTGGTGGGTATTTTTTCCTCTGCTTGTGAGTTTTTTCTTTTTTAAAAATTGAAGTAAATTTGCGTACAGAGAAACAAGCAGATCTAACGTACACAGTTTGAAAAATGTTAAGAGCTGAATAAACCCATATAACTCACACTCCTATCAATATACTTATTTCTGTTACTCTAGAAAGTTCTCTCATGTTCTTCCCAGTCAATCCCTGGCTGCCACCCACATCTCGCCAAGGCAAGCCATGTTTTGATTTCTATCACTGTATATCAGTTTTGCCTGTCTTAGAATTTGATATAATTGAAATCATATTCTTTTGTTTGGACTTAATTTTTTTTCACTCAGCATAATGATTTTGAGATTTATCCATGCTGTGGTATGTTTCCGCAGTTCATTCTTTGGTATTTTGCTAAGTAGTGTTCCATTGTACAAATATACCACAATTTGTTATGCATTCTCTTGATGGACAGACATTTGGGTTGCACCATTTTTGGCTATTACAAATAAAACTGTTAAGAACATTCTTGTACACAAATCTTTTGTGGACAGATGTTTTCACTTATTGTGATACAAACCTGGAAATGGAACTGCCGGGCCATATAGTTAAACATATATTTACATTGATATGCAACTGCCAGACTAGTTTTCAAGAGTGAACATATCATTTTATACTTTCAGCAGCAGTGTTTCAGAGTCTTGGTGGCTTCTATCATCTTAAGTAGTCATTTCTCTCGTGTATGTGACACCTGTAGCTTTCCAAGCGGAAGACCTGTTTCTTCACAGGTCAAGACCTTCGCGACCACTTCTGTAGCCCATCCATGTCATATCTTTTATCCTTACGAGATGTGAGGTTGTTGGCTGGTTATGAGGTCTCTATCTTGCCCATTCAGCTCTTAAACTAGATTTTTCTAGGTTGGTGTCTTACACATTAGTTGCACCCACCTGCCCCCCCCCCCGCCCCCGCATCTGACTTTTGTCCAAGTTAAATTGTGCATCAGTACACAAGCCTCTGAGGCCCAGCCTCTGTGGACCCCACATGGCTGCTCACTGCCTCCTTGCTCTGCTGTTGCTTTGGAATGGAGTCAGAGTGGCCGGTGAAATAAAAACATTGTTTAAAATCCTAACAATTGGATCTTGTTTGGTGAAGAGACTCATTGCTCTATCTAGAAACTACCTCAGAGTTTAAAAAGCGAGAGAAAGCAAGAAAGTAAAAGACAGATATGTTACAATAATCCTGGTATTTCCGTGCCTTTGATGCTTAGTTGGCCTTGAGAACATATGTTGTGGGAGAAATTTTTAGCTGCCCTGGCCATAGACGCTTGACTTTGCGGAGCTTGTTCGGTGAGAAATGTTGTCAAGGAACTACCTGACATTGGTGTTTATTAAATGGGCCTTGAAAATGTCCAGGAGCTTTAAGAAAGTGTGTCCTAGCTGCACATAAGCTTTGACTGGTTCCAGGTAAGTTCCTTGCTGTGCCTTTCACGGTCAGAGTTCCTGGAGGGCGCTTCCGCCGTCGGACTATGTAAGCCTTCCTATCCCAGGCACGGATGAGGAAGGAAACGGGGAGCGTTTTCTCCTTTTGCCATATGTGAACTTGTGTGTTAGTCTAACAAACAGCAAGGTTGCTCATTGCAGAACAGATCGCCCCAGACCCCTCCGAGCCTGGCAAGGGATTCCAGCACAGGGAACGGTAATCAATGTTGGGGCACCCAAACATCCACATGGAGAAAGGCCAAATTACGTTCTCCCTGTTAGTAAAGTGAATAGATGATGCGTTTTGAAAAATTTCAGTGTCAAGAGTTAAAGTTTAAAATTCCTGTATTGAACAAGGTAAGCTTCCATTTTCTAGGAAGCCCATGCAGGGGTAGGGGCGTTGGTTCAGCGAGGTGAGCCCTCCACGCCCACCATGTCCCCAGGTGCCTTGTGGCTTTTTACAAAGGACCTGCTGCCGCTTGTGGCTCTTCACCCTCCCTGTGCTCTGCCCGTCAGGATGACAACTGGGGAGAGACCACCACGGCCATCACCGGCACCTCGGAGCACAGCATCTCCCAGGAGGACATCGCCAGGATCAGCAAGGACATGGAGGACAGCGTGGGGCTGGACTGCAAGCGCTACCTGGGCCTCACAGTCGCCTCGGCGCTTGGACTTCTAGTTTTCCTCACCCCCATCGCCTTCCTCCTGTTACCCCCCATCCTGTGGAGGGACGAGCTAGAGCCCTGTGGCACCATTTGCGAGGGACTCTTCATCTCCGTGGCATTCAAGCTCCTCATCCTGCTCATCGGGACGTGGGCGCTCTTCTTCCGCAAGCAGAGAGCTGACGTGCCGCGGGTGTTTGTGTTCCGGGCCCTTCTGCTGGTCCTCATCTTTCTCTTTGTGGTTTCCTATTGGCTTTTTTACGGGGTCCGCATTTTGGACTCTCGGGACCGAAATTACCAGGGCATTGTGCAATATGCAGTCTCGCTTGTGGACGCTCTCCTCTTCATCCACTACCTGGCCATCGTCCTGCTGGAGCTCAGGCAGCTGCAGCCCGTGTTCACGCTGCAGGTGGTCCGCTCCACCGACGGCGAGTCCCGCTTCTACAGCCTGGGGCACCTGAGGTAAGGGGACACGGGCGTGCAGGACGTCTTCGGCAAGTGAGGCGTGGCGCCAGGGGCCGAGGGCCAGGACCAGGGTGTGGCTGTGGTTCAGGTTTTGAGAAGAGCGGTGCGTGTGCGTGACAGGTGCGGGGTGTTTGTGTACATTGTCCGTCCTGACTTCCGGATGGGCGGGTGCAGTTGCTGGCTCTTACCTAGGTCGGAGTTTAGTTGGGTCTGCTCTCAGAGTTGTTGGCACTTCCCAAAAAAGTTGGAGGAAGGCTACGTAGTGACGGCTGTTAACCTTGCCCCTGAACTTGGCCTGTGAATGATGGATTAAGTGATCAGCAATTCTATTTGCTCAAAATAGTGCATCTGGTTTTCCCTGTGGTGCCAATGGAATTACTAATCGTTCCTGTTTTCCACTCTCAGAGGTGTCCTGGTTTGGGCAGTATTTTCCATGGTCACCCTAGTGACCCTCCAGCAGAGAACCAAGTGCAAGTGAGAGAGACTTCAAACTCCTAAGAGTTGGGTGTTTGAAGATGTGTATGTGAGAAAAAGGTAGAAATTCACTGAGATGTCATGCGTCACATCTGTGCATAAAACCTAATTATTCTGTGGTTAATTAGAAGAGCAGTAATCATCATTCATTTAATTTTATTTTTATTCATCCCAAGGTAAGCGCTGGATACAAATTGCTGTATTTAGTCTTCAAAGAACCCTTTGATTTTGGTATTTTTAATCCCTCTGTTACAGATGCGGAAATGGGCATTTGGGGAGTTTAAGTAATTTGTACAAATGTCATGGGATGGGGCCTGAGCTAATGTCCTCTTGCTGGCGTCTTCCACTTGTGTTTACTGGCCTATTTTCCTTTCTTCCACAAGCCACGACTCCCTGGGGACAGGGGCCGCGCCGCGTTGCGTCCCCGGTGCCTGTCCTGGGCCATGGCGCGCTGCGGGCAGTTGCGTGGCTCCCCACCGACTGCACCCCCTGCCACGTCTCACTCCGCCCTCCCTGGGCCCTCCAGCCTCATCAGGCGATATGTGCGGTGGATATCACGCGTGGGATGAGGAGCTTGAATGCCACGGAGATGAAGAGTCCCTTGCAAATGGTGCCACAAGGCTCCAGCTCTTGGCACCAGGTCATCAGTCAATCGTAGCCATCCCTGCGGTGGTGTCGTAGCTGCCAAAGGGCACCTTAGTGGGTATCAGACCAATGGGCTTTATTTCTGGCCGCGGCCCAGGAAAACGGCCCGGCCCCAGGGGTCCCACTGCCAGGCCATCTCGGTGCTGGCACGCACCCTCTTTCACTCCTCGGGCTTAGCTTGTACCGGCCGCCTTGGACCAGGTGGTTCAGCGGTCAAGGCTGTGGCCATCCTGACCCATCCTCTGAAGGAATCAGTATCTGACTCACATGCTCTGTGCAGTAAGAATAGGCATTTCAGGTCTTTTCAGATGCCCTTCAATAAGCTCAGACAGCTTGCTTTTCCCGTATTTTAGTGATGATGAATGAGCAGAAGACTTGTATTACATATCTGTGCTGTGCAGAGCCCAGGCCTGGGGCCCCGGGACACAGGGCGGCGGCCTTCAGAGCTCTGTCCCCCGAGAGAGACCAGTATGCCGCTGTGCCGTGGACAGCTGCTGACTGAGGCAGCTGGACAGGCATTGGGAACACAGGATGAGGGGGTTCCAGGCAGTGGCAGCAATGAAGCCTCACAGGAAGCAGCCTGTCTTGGGACAGGACAGGCTTTGAGGAAGGGAGAGGGGGTCGACAAAATCCTGCTCTGGTCCCAGTAGAAGTGAGCCATCTATGGGACTTTGTAAGCCTAAGTAGCTGAGGCCCGCTGCGGTTCTGTGTTTTGGCTGCAGGCGCACTGGGTGTGAATCGCCCCTGCGGATGTGCGGAGGGGAAGGAAGGCTTCTCACCTTGGGTGGTTGGGGCGGGGTGGCCACCCCCCAAGGCTCCCCGTCACTCCTCCTAAGACTGGATTACGGGGGAGGGGGGGCGCGGAGGGAAGCAGAAGAGCCCCGGGCAGTGTTCCTGTGGGATGGTCAAGAAATTGGCAGCAGTCCTGGTACCTCACCCACTGCTCTGCCCGTAGCCGTGCCGGCCGGATGGGGTGGACCGGGTGGGAGAGGCTGGGCTGATTGCACTGTGACCCGCAGGCTGGCTGCAGACCCCTCATGGTTGTTCTCGCCATGGCCAGCAACCTTTGGGGCCTCACTCGCTGACCCTGAAGCCATTAACCCCAGGGGGGTGCGAGGGGGGGCCCATGGGTTCAGCAGCCCTGGGGGAGAGCGTGTCCAGGTGGTCCCAGCATCTCCCTTCAGCTCCTTCCCCGGGGTCCTTCGTTTCCTCCTCTCCCCGCCTCCCTCATGTGGAGGCACTGGTTATGGGGCGGAAAGGGGGCTGGCGAAGGAGAGATGCCTTTATTCCCAAATAGAGCCCTCAGAGCCTGCCGCCCTGTGACGGCCATTGTCATTGCCTGTCAGGAGCTGGAGCATGCCTGGCCTCTCTCCCTGCTGGCACTGTGTGGGCTCCGTCACCTGCCGGTCCTTAGGCTAAATCTGGTCCAAACCCAGCGGTGGCTGGAAGAGTCACCGGGCCAGAAATATAACTTCTAAGCGCTTTTGTGAAGTGTAGAAAGAGACAGGAGGGAAGGGGGGATCAGAATGGACAAAGAGTGATCCCCGGGGTCAGAATAGCCGGCCTTCTCGGACCCAACGGGAACCACAGGTCCTGCCACACACGCTTTATGTAAAGTCTTCCCTGCAACAGAGACCTGTTGGGCTGAGGTCCTTTTTTGTTTTGTTTTCAAAGGTGATTTTATTGAATTGGCTGAGCTATTTTTGAGAGTTGTCTAAAGACCGCCTGTTCTTTAGTTTCTTAAAGAAAATCTGCTTCTTGTTAGCTCTCATAAAAGGTCCTCGCAGGGGCCCAGCTTGTTGGCAGGAATGGAGTCACGGCTTTATTTGAAAATGTTCAGAAATGTAAAAGGTTATTGTTGTACAAAGTGAGATAACATAAGTAGATTAAGAGACTTCCTAACCTTTGCCCAGTGCCTTAGGGAAGACAAAGCGCTTTTCGGATGTTCGATTTCATTTGTTCCCCCTGCCACTGGGGTGGCACAGGCAGTGTAGCGGTGTCACCCATTGCAGTGGAGGGTCCCCAGGCCGAAGGTTAAGGGACCTGTGCAGACTGCAAGGACCACCGTCCTGTGGGTCACACCCTGCCCCTGTGCTCTGCGCAGCCTCCTGGGGTCCCAGCGTGTTTGATTTGTAATTCCGCACGCACATGCCACTTGTACTTTTCTTGGCACCATTCTCACAATGAGTTGCTAATTTTTCCAGGATTTTACCAAAGACCAGTGAGTTGTGATCTAACTATATCTGGGGAGAAATCCAGAACAGAAAAGAGACTAAAAATGACATTTAGTTATCCTAATTGATAATTTCTCAGTTTAAAAAAAAAAAAAATCCTCACCTGAAGATATGTTTGTTGATTTGAGAGAGAGAGAGAGAGAGAGAGAGAGAGAGAGAAACATCGATGTGGGAGAGAAACATAGACCGGTTGCCTCCTGTACGTGCCCCGACCAGGCACTGAACCCGCAACCCTTTGGCGTATGGGATGACCCTCCAACCCACTGAGCCACCAGCCAGGCCAGCGTGATAATTTCTCAGTTTTGAAATCTTTAAAGGTAAATACTGTGAACATTGGAACATAGAAGCTAGTGTAACTGACTGAATCCGAGACGTAAACAACGAAAACCTTAACAATTACAGAGTCTTTACCATGTGCCGGCCCCTGCTAAGCTCTTCACATGTAACTCATTTAACCCTAACAGTCCAGTAGGGGCAGAACTGTTACCCCTGTTCTCGGATGAGGAATCCGTGGCACCAAAGAGTTAAGCAGGTTGTCTATGACCACAGAACTTGTGATTGTTGGTGCCAGGGTCTGAGCCCAACCATTTGGTTCTGGAATAACCTTGTTTCATCATAGTGCCTCTGGGTACATATGTTCATGTTCACGTCATCGGTTTAAGGATGCAAGAAGCGCCCTGGCAGGGCGGCCTAGCTGGCTAGAGCGTCACCCCGTACAGCGAAAGGGTGCAGGTCGCTCCACAGGCGGGGCGTGTGTGGGAGACAACCAATGGATGTTTCTCTCTTATATCAATGTGCTTTTTTCCCCCTTCTCTTTCTGTCTCCCTTCCTCTCTCTAAAATCAATAAATATATCCTCGGGTGAGGATTTGGGGCGGGGGGAAAGGATGCACAAAGGAACTCCATTTTTGAGTGCTGTTTTTTATACACCATCCCATTCCATTTAACGCACAGCTTTGGGGCTGGAATGGAGAGAATGAGGAGGGTTGTTAGAGGCTGGCTCGCTCCCTGTGGCCCTTTCTTAGCCCACTGGTTCTTCTGCTCAGTCAGCTAGCAAACATACAACCACAGCAGTAGGTTGGAGTCTTTGCCTGGTCAAACCTTCTTAACTTTCTATACGTCACTTGTCCCAAAGAAGACCTCTTTTATCTATTGCTGTATAAAACCGCCCCAAAACTTCACAGTGTAGAGCAACATTTTATTATTTTACAGTGATTTCTCACAGTTGTGTGGGCGGGGCTCGGCTAGGAGGGTCTTTGGCTGGTCTGGCCAGGGGTCCCTGTGTGATCACAGGCATGTGGGAGGCAGCTGGGGCTGGGCCTCCCTTCCTTCTCTCATATTCCGCAGTTCTTACCCTCCCCCGAGAGCCCCAGTTTCTTAGGCGGGTAGCTGGACTTCTTCTCAGGGCTCCCGAGGACTCAGAAGCAGACGCTCCCAGGACCTTTTAAGGCTTTGCCCTGGAGCTGGCCCAGCACCGCTTGCCCTGTATTCGCCTGTCCAAGCAAGTCCAAGCCCCAGCCCAGATTTAAAGAGAAAGGACTGTGCAGGGTGGGGAGCCTGGGCGGGCTGGTTCCTTGGGGTTCGTGATGTGGAAGACCCCCACAGCCACCCCCAACTGCCGTCCTCAGAGCTTGCCTGCTTGTTC